TCACTGTTCTCAGACATGCTGTTTTCATAGACTCTCCCACCTCCCCTAATTAAAATCCACACAAAAGTATGAATGATTTCCATAATAAGGAATAATTCTTTTAAGGGAAATTTTCCCTTAGTCAGAGAAAATCTCTTATGGATTTTAGAGGTTTTCAATCAGTTGAGGAGGTATTATGAGAATCAAAGTTAGGTGATCCAGAAATCATCCTCTAGACATTGTTGTCCATTTTGTCTTCTTTTAACAACTGGTCCAGACTTTTCTTCCTACTCCTGGAAATTAATGATTATACATGGACACTCAGAGAATAGATTAAGTTGTGTTATCCAAGTGTTCCTTCTACTTACAAAGGGCAGTCTATGGATCAGATTGCCAGTAATTCTAGAGACCTATTCTGTAATAGAGAATCCAGGTTCCTATAAGACAATTTCTCATTGTTTTATAGGGCTTTTAAAGAACCTTCATGTGTACAGCCTCTTCTGGGTTTTTTTTTACAAGCTTTTGTACTGAAGACAAATATTAATCTCCCGTTTCCCAGATGAAGAAACAGCCTGCCAGGAAAGCAAGTCATTTTCACAAAGTCTCAGAAAATGTGGTAGACCTGGGACCAAAGGCCAGATATTTCATTTCCGGAATCAAGGACCACTCCCACATACCACAATGCTGCTTTTATTATTCACACCATTTTATAAGGCAAGATTCTTCTCTAGTAGTTCCTAGTCTTGGCCTTCTTCCTTTATACCCACACAATGCTTCTCTCCTCTGCTCATAAGGAATGACATGCTGTGCTATGAGTCAGGCAGGATAGTCTCTGCCAGTCATGAAGAGTACAAGGAGGACTCCAAGGTTCCAGGCAGCTTCCTCTCCAACTACTTCTGAGACTCTCTCTAGCTTCACGGGTAGCTTTGTCAGAGGACATTTCCCCCGGTAGTAGTCATGGGCTGCTGTCAAGTAGAGCTCAGTTCATTCTTAGGCCTTTCTTAAGACCTGATAAGAAAGACACATCTCATGTTTCCTAAGTCATGGGCCACCTGATGTCCAGCCTTAAGGCTATTTTTTCACTTAAAGAAAACAATCACAGCCGGGCTCGGTGGCTCAGCCTGTAATCCCGCGCCTTTGGGAGGCTGAGGTGAGTGGATTACCTGAGCCCGCGGGTTCGAGACCCGCCTGGGTAGCGAGACCTCATCTCTACAATAAATCAAAAAATCAGCCGGGCGTGGTAGCGCATGCCTGTAATTCCGGCTACTTGGAAGGCTGAGGAGGAAGGATCGCCGGAGCCCAGCAGGTCGAGGCTGCAGTGGCCGGGAGCGCTGCCACTGCACTCCAGTCTGGGCGACAGAGTG